TTGCAAAATAAGTCATTTAATTCTTAAGTATTTAAAATACTTATTCCTGTCAATACTAGAATTACAATTCCAACCGAGAAATAGAAGATTCACGTAGACAATTTTAGGATATCGTATTGATGAAATTACAGGTGTTTATTTACTCTGATACATGATGAATTTTACCAATCGTGCAAGTCACCGTAATGTCAGTATTGGGTTACTGTTATCCGACGCGGCCGATTAAGTGTTAAATGGAGAGAAATAGTCGATCACCCTTTGTGTCTGTTACGAACCGAGAACCCCAAAAGTGTCACGGTACGGATGCCCCTTTGAAGTCCTATCGAATCGAATGGAAACTCAGCCCGTAGCGAAATGGCATAGTGTCGGTCATTTTCGAGCACTATCCCAGATGAAATCGTCGCGAGTCCTTTTCGGGTTTTCTTCCAAATCTTCGGGAAATCAAGTTTCGACTGCATTTAATACGACGGCGAGATTTTTCTTATCACAGTATAACAATGAAGTTTCGTAAAAATTGGAATAAAACTTGAAATAAAACTTCGACACACACTTTTGTATCTCATCTTGATCTAATTTTCTCAGACAGCTTCACATCATTTCGAACAATTCATAATCGCTGTCTCGTTTCTCTTCTTTTGTTTTATCTTACTATTAATGCTGACGTGAGTTACGTCAAATGTGGAACCTGTGCGCTGGTTAGTGACAGACGTCCGATCAGCGTTTTCCTTTTTTTCCATCATATTACCTAAACGCAATACTAATACAAAATGAATTCGATTCATGAGAATTTCAATTCGAATCAAAATCTCTATTTGATTAATAAAGTAATCAGTTGAAATAAAGAATTAATATATAACCAATTATCATAATTCGTAATGATTTAATATGAAACTATAATTAAAATGAAATTCGTTTGCAGCGCATTATAAAATCACTTCTCGATACAGAAATTGACACATAAAGTTTGAACACCGTCGAAACCGAGCCGAAATAACGAGTCACAATTAATCACGAATCTCGTGCAAGACGCATCGCAGAGTAATTATTTCGTACGCAAACATCATTTTAATCGTTCGCTCCCAATCTTAATTTAACCTCCGTGCTTCCTCCTCGCGGTCGCAATTAAATGCGTTAATCAAGGGATCGTTGTGCAAACTAATCTAAAATTTTCAATTAGACGATAGTACTACGGAAAAGAGAATAACCAACTCACTGGCTTTGTACTCTTTCGCTTAAACTACAGTATCGTTTTGTTCAATTCTATTAACTTCTGTTTGTCTTTAATCGATAACTGCTTTCCGATTTATACTTTGTTTTTATTTCATATCAGAAATAATAATTGGTACTTTTTATTTTATTTTGTTAAAGTATTCGCGATTTAATTTTTACTACGACAATATAAGAATTTCGTACCGTGACGATTAAATGAATTTAATTCAGGCAAATCGTAAATCATTCTGCCAGCTAATGAGTTTTCCTCAAACAAATGCCCGAGATTGACGCAAGAATAAAATTGTAACAAACTCACCATGACGAGCATGTCGGCCGCTGGTGGTTTCACCTGGGTGCGAAAATAATTATGAGTATCGACGATCTTCTGCCGGACTCTGCTGTTGCTTGTCCTTAACAGCTTGACGGGTACCCTTTCCCCGTACAATCTTGGCGCTACAAGCAAACGCAAAGCATCTCTCGTAATAAACCCCGCGTGATAATCAATATTCTTTACACACACAAAGTTTACCAGACAAACAAACTGTACTATTACACGTGTTATACATATGTATATCTAGCTAAAAAACTGCTATATGATGGCAAAGTTTACTATTCATCGTACGTTCGTTGACATTTGATTTATATTATTTTTCAGAGAACCCGAATTTATTGTGCTACATGTAACATGTACTGTTCAGAATTTATCAAACACAATGACAAAGTTTGTTGGTTTTTATTTGGAGCATCCCGTACGTGTTGCTCCATTTCCTCCTTTTTTACCACGGGGAACAAGTATCCGCTTTAAAGGGGAATATCGACAACCAACTCTGAACGGGCAATAACGTTCCACTTTCATACCCTTTATCTTGTTTGCCGCCCCACAATCCAACCGTTTCGCGAATTTCGATTTCACCCGCTGAAAGCCTTTTTTCTAATGGGAAAGTTTAATCACGTAGCGCAAAATTCTGACCAACTTCATACGAACCACGTACGTTTTGTAATTCTATAAGCGTAGCGATATACGTATTCGTAAACGTACTAAACATCCATTTGCCACTTGTAGCAATTTGTCACTCCTACTTTTATGTTTTTTAGAAAATCAAATCAATTATCGTACCAACTTCCCCCAATAAGTGTTTAAATTATAATTAATCGCAGAATTCTTCAAGTGAGAACACGTCACGTTCTTTGCTCACAAGCAGATATGACAGATTCCGTTTTCTTATTCCATTTCAACTTAATTACTATAATATTATATGGCGATATCGCTCGATGATCACAAATTATCCGCGAACGAAGCCGGGGATCGGCCAATCCGCAAGGTCGTTCGGTTGGACAGCCGTTTTCGTAATCAACGGCGACCTGATCTCCTTGTAAATTACTTGCGACCCTAATTTATCGCGACGACCCGTGCCAGCGTACCCCAGGGATCAGATGTTTATCCACTCGCGTGCACCGATAAAATCTCCGAGCCCTCACCGACAATCTCCGACCCTAATTTAACATTTGGACCGGGGTTAGCCGAGTTGCTCTCACGCGGGTACGGCACTCGATGCTCCCATTGGAGGAGCCTGGCTTGATCCTACTTACAGCTCGAAACAAACTTCGGGGAATTATTCATCGCCCGAGGACGTTTATCTTACCCGGTGAATTGGAACGGGAACCCGAATGTGGGAATTTTGATGAATACCGCGAAAGGGTAGTTCCGGTTGGCGAATGAACCTGGAATTCTTCTTGTGTTCTCATTTATTATTTCTTTCAGTGAAATTCTACTTCTACTAAATACTATCTTATTTTTCTGATGATTTATATGTACACAGAGAATTTCATCAGTACCTGGGGAATATTAAAAAAGAATGGACTGAACAGATTATGTTAACGAAACCAATTGTCTTTTATTTTACACTACAAATGAATCGAAGAAATGCTTATCAAATGCAATCAATTTTTAATTTGATAATAAGAGCAAGAATAACTGTGTTCCATTTACTGAATTTGCTGCTAATAAGTCAAATAATAGACTGAATAATCTGATTGTATAAATAAGCGACCAGGAGCAGAATTTATTTCAAGTTGTCTTTTTATACAGACGTTTTTCAGTATCTTCCGTCGGCAGATCTTTCGTTCACTCACTATAAAAAGGTAAGCGTCTGGACTATATTCCCAACGTTCTCCAAATTTTTCCGTACACTGCTTCATTTGCATAAAGTTTGCCAGGCGATTCCTTGTACTAGCACCTCAGTGTATACAGCTTCCGGCAGTATTGTTTATGCCAACCTTATATTGGTGTTCTTTTTTTACGTGTTTTCACCCGAAATTAGACGCCATGAAGTTTAGTGCCAACCGTAACAGGTGTGCATAATGAATCCTGTGCGCAAGGGTGGAAAAAAACAGTATTCTGTCTTACCGTTATGAAAAACTTGTGAAGAATTCCGGTACTTTGCCCATCATAGTTTGATTTGTAAAATGACATTATTAAACCTCTCGAAAAATACAATAAATCTATTGAATATAAATTATTACGTTGTTGAATCTCAATTATATTTCATTTATATAGTTTTTCTTGAGTTCAATCCAAAATCGAATTATAATATAAAGAAATGTACGGTTCATTAAATGCGTATTTTTGTATTAAACAAGATTCAAAAGTCATGACATTAGTCTACATTCTTATGGACGTACATTTAACAAAACTACATTTAAAAATTGAATTACTCTATCAATTCGTATAATCGGCACGAATCCGACATGAGATTTTGAACCATTACACAACGTCTAGGTGTAAAAACTCCGATTAAGTTTCCTGGGAAACCGCTGACGGGAATTCCCCAGAAACTGTGAAAAATACTGTAGAAAAATTCACGATATCGTTGAATTTTATCAAGCGCAACAATTCTCGCGAGTCTGAACGGAGCACAGGCGAGTTTTTCATGAAAAGCGAAGAGTAAAAACTGGAATCGGAGAGATTGAAACAAATGTGCCACTTACTCGGTTTGCTGCGATGCGTCCTCCGTGGCACAGCCGCTGGCAGCGCTAGAGCTATCAACACGATAATCCACAGCCACCTCATGATTTCTGATCACGCCCTACAACAGATCAACCAAAATTTTAATAAAAATTTTACCACCTTGCTCATACTTCGATTTTTTATATGCTCTATCTGGTGGATGGATTCAACATCGGAGAATTTTATAGAGAAACAATTTGTAACTTTTTCCAGCACGTGTTATTACGTTCAATGCAAGGAAGCTAATCACGTACGTGGTTTTCATACATAAAAATGTAAAAAAATGCTTCTACATATGCTCTTCAATTTTGCTAAAACTTTTATCAAGCCTTTCTTTTTATTTCAATTTCCCTTTTCAATTCTCACTTTTAATTAACTACAAACAGAATATTACTACGTTTGATAACACAGTATCCTACTGAAATCCACGATTCTTTTACCATTAATTTTCTTCATAGTATTCATTTTACCGACTTTTTAGAACCATTATACAATATTTTATTCAAAAGATAGAATGTGAAGATTTTTGTTTTGTTTCATGGTATTTCGCGTTTTAAGGTTCCTAACAGGCGACGCTTTCAACAAAATTTTCGCGTCGACCAAAGGAGACTATTTCCGAGTTTTTTTTATCAATTAAGAAATGTCACGTCTGTATCCGGCAAACTAAAACAGCACACGTTTTCTAAAAATAAGGCGAATTCTAATTTTTCTCGACATCAAAGTTGTTCTGTCGAAAGCGTTCTCTCATTGTCAGAGATATTTGTTAATGGTATTAAAAATAGTCGAAATACGGTCCCATTAAAAAAATTTATACATGACTGCTGACATTAAATGGTGCATTATTTTTATTACTATATGATTGTGTCTAGTACAAAGATAGCATTTTCAATTAACTGGATTAATTCCGTTATTCAATAAAAAATTTCATTACTTCGAGATTATCGAACGATATTATTATTTGCTGGGAGTAGAAAGATACTGATTAGCCTAGTTACACTGAAAATCGTGGAATCGTATAATTCAACTGCACTTGGTCTCTATTTATTTATCTAAATGGCACTCGGAGCCAGACTCGCCAATTTTCTCAGAACGTTCGCTTCACTGGCTCGTCTTCGGCGAAGTCGAAGTGAGCTTATATTTTCGTGACGCGACGTTCATTAAAGAAAGCCTCTTACCAGGGCTTCTTATCTCCGGTCTTTTCGCAACGCGGACTTCGTACTCCCTCGTTTCTTTCGTATGTGCGCTCCGGATAACTCGGTCGTACGTGCGCGAAAGCGAAAAGACGTGTGAAACGGAGAGACAGCCGGAAAAGAGCAGAAAATGAAAATAAGCGATCCGAGGGCGACGCGACTCAACATCGCGTCGATCTGAGTAGAAAAGAAAGATTTACGAGATTCTTCTACATTCTACAGACTGCCGTATAATTTCATTCAACCCTTTCAACGATGTGAAACGTAAGAACGAATCTCAGAAAGAGATACCAGCTCCTGTCGCCTTTGGCATTTCAATTACTCGAAAGAAGAACGTGATTTTATAAAATTTTTAATACAGTTTGAAGTCGTAAAAAGGAAGTTTAAATCAGTTATGGAAAAGCAGATGAAATAAATGCAATGTAGCCTGAATAAAAAAGTAAATTAATTAGTTTTCGAGAAAAGAACAAGATTTTCCTTTCTCGAAATTTTGAGCAAAGATTGTGGACAAGGATTAAAATACTTCGTATTATGTTTTGTATTACAGTAAAAGATAGAAGAATAGATTGAAGATCGTTTGTAAAAAGTAAATGATTTGAATTATACAGTACTCTAAGATATATGTTTTTACATAGGAAAACTTAAGTTTATGCGTTGCTCTCTTATCCTACACTTACATCCATCTAGATACCGATATCTCGCGACATTAGTTGTTCGCTTATTCAGCGAACTCCCACAAACTTGCATAAGTCCGCCGATAGGGCAGAGAAAAGCTTGAAATTCTGCCAAATACCGATCGCTTAAGGTATCGTTACATATTCTAACCGTCGAACAGAGGAGATGAGAGTGGGGAACGATCGTCGATACCCGGGCAAATGGTTCATGAGTTCGTATCGTGTCTCGATTTCAGGCCCGACTGATCAGAAGTCGATAGAAAAGAGTGAGGGACGGAATGGAGGGCGGACGGCAAGCAAAAGAAGGCTCTTGCGTATCCGCCTCTATATCTTAAACCACTTTGCATACGCTCTGAACACCGTTGGTATCTACCCTTCCTCTTTCTACCTCTGAACGGCTGAAAAGGGCGGATTCCGGCGGAGAAAATGAAAACGGGAGGCATAAAAGCGACTGCACACGGTCCACGGGTTCGTGGAGAACGAAAAATATCTTTGACATTCGATCTCGAGGACTCCGCCGACCTTTATTGAACAGAGTCGAGGCCGTCTCGGGTGGGAAGATACGTTTAGAGCAGCGAATAAAGGGAATAGAGAGAGAACAAGATTAATCCGTGCTAATTTGGTTTGGACAACGGCTGATGATTTATGAAACACCTGGTGGACTTGGGCAAATGAAATGGAAATAATATATGGACAGTAGTATAACTGTAGTCGAGATAAACGAATGAATAGCTTTTAAAAAGTATTGTTATTTATATCTCAGTTCATCGGATAATTCTATTTTGTTAATCAAACTCCAATATCTGAATTGTTGAAGATAAGGAATTATTTTATGGGAGCGCAGAACTAATAGACTGATCAAGTGAGATCATAGGTAGACCGTCGCTAGAAATAGAGGAAAATCGACACTCGTCACTGTCCTCGACTTGATGTTTATTATCATACACACCTCCTTAGCCACACTTTTCGGCTCATTGTTGAGATACTGCATGTACGTATGCAAATACATCTGCACACTCATCGCCAGTTTAAACTCAAGGCCTCCTCATTGCCAGATTTAGAGTAAAGAGTATATCAAATTTTTATAACATAAAGCTGAACTAGATCTTTCAAAATAAATACAAATCTAGAAAATGCAACAAACAATGTTGGAAAAATCCGGATGTTTAAGTTTCGCAGAAAGAAAACAAGTGTGCGTTCCAAATTCCCCGGCGCGTCTATAAATGTTTTCATTCAATCTCGCAAATGAAGCTGCAATCACGCCGATAACGACCATCTTCGAAAATACGTAATTTCACTTTGACTGTTCTTCAAGTGGTAATCATTCATAATACATTAATAACAAGGAATTAAGAACTGTCACATTGTTTTTCTTTTGTATTAAGCTTTTTTACTTTAATTAATTTCGTTTAAGGAAATTACCATTACAATTCGTTTGTAATCTATAATTACGTGTTTATTAATTATATCAAACAGAATTATAAAATTTGAATGAGATGGATTGACAACAATCGGTCATGTAATTTTGATGATCATTACGATCGTGTATTTAATCAGAAACATTGGATTCGATCAGAAATCTCAATATCATTAATTTCTGAAAAATATTGTTGTTTGAAGTATACAATTGCTCGATCGCGTTCCATAACTAATATTCATTATCGAATGTGTCGTTTCATTATTAACATAAATGAACAAGATATATGCATATACATACATATTTATGCACACCTAGGTATCATCGGAGTGTTGAAGCTGAACGCATTCGGTTCACAGTTGCATTAATATTTTGTTACCCAATGAATAATTCGACATACGGAGAACTCATGACGATTATTTATGCGTCATCAATATTTCAAACAAACGGTTTCCATCTACAATTTGTATCAATTTCAGATTATTCAAACATGTATGATATAAAAAATTAAATATCAAAGTATATATAGATTTTTTACTGTGTAATACTTGGCACTAAAAATAATTGTGAAAAACTAGGACAATAAAAATGTAATCAAATGAAAGTATCACAGTGTCAAATATTACATGAAAAAGGGGCACGCTCTTTCTACGCAGGTAGACGCACGACCACTCTTTAACGCGCGATACTGCTGTCATCGTACACGTGTTTGTGTTTGTTCATTTAATTGTAAAAACAACAACAACAACAACTCGCTAACGATTAATCGAGCATAGATCGCGAAACGCAGAAGGAAATTGAATTTTGACTGTAATCTGCAACGCCATTCCAATTTTTGCCAGTGGAAATGGAGTCAGTAGTATAAATCGGTTAAAAGTCAGACCATGGCTAGTCATACCTAATATTTGAACTTTTAAAACTTTTCTTTAATAACAAATGACGAATTAAAATGCGTATGCCATATAATGTAAAACATTACTAAAAAAAATAAAATCTCGTTTGATTTTTCAAACAAGCAATCAAAAGCATTCTGCCCCCGCGAATTGTTTGGACAGATCCGACGTATAGATTTCATATTGGAAGTTATGATTAAGTAATTATAAATTCACTTGTGCGATTAATTAACTGCGCGCGATGTGTTATTCTCGAATCAATCTATTTTAATAGCGACGCCGAAATTGGACCAAGCCAGTACATTTTCCCGCAATGCTACCATTCGTCCTGGACTGCCAGGTCGTGGCGTGTTCAACGTGAAAGTTACACGCCACGCCGTTCGCTGGTGCACAAAGCCGAGCCGTGGAGTAATTGCGCGTTTCGAATTGGACGAACCTAGTCCGCGGTTTCCTGAATACTGGATCTGGACAAGACACGCAATATTCCGCGAGGAAACGATGAATTTTGACAGCGTTATCATCGTAACAGTTACAACCTGTTTATGTGCCGTTGATAAGGACACGTAATGCAATTATTTCAACAGAAACAATATCATGCGAAATACTGCTGCAGTTTCCTTCTCCTTTGTACAAATGTATTTCGCTTAATCGAAGTTTAAACTATTTAAAACAATCTGAAAATACTAAATATACGCAAAATATGCATAATGCTTGCGTTGCACATTTCACATGCATACATCACGAATAACGTTCATGTAGCAAGTGAAATCATTTTGAGACGGAAGATAAAAAAAAGGAATTCTATAAAGGTGTTCGATCACGCGCGAAATAGTAAATCTTCAAGCGTTTCCTTCACTCGGACCCGCGTTTCGCTCCAGGACGATAAATCACCCGGTTTAACCGCT